ATTTACTACACAGCAGGAGAAAGACAGGACAACGAAAAGATGGCCGGCGGTGTTGTTGTCACAGGCACCGCCGACGTAGGTCGCGTCGAGGCCCCTGTTACATTCAAGGCATACCTTATTTGTGCCTTCGCCGCCTTCGGTGGTATCTTCTTTGGCTATGATACCGGTAAGCTCGAAGTCTCGAGACTGTAGTAAACCTTTTTAGATACTAATCACATATACATCTAGGTTGGATGAGCGGCGTGTTGGCTATGCCGTATTTCATCACTCTATACACCGGAGTCCCCTACGATTATAACGCCATTAACGCCGATGGAACGATTGGTGCTCCTATTGGCATTGCTAAGGATGCCTTCACCCTACCGTCAGCAACACAGTCTCTCTTCACATCGATCCTGTCTTGCGGTACCTTCTTCGGCGCTCTTGTAGGTGGTGATATCGCCGACTTCGTTGGCCGACGTCCCACCATCATTGTAGGATGCTTCGTTTTTATGGTCGGTTGTATTTTACAGATCTCGAGCACCGATCAAGAGGTCCTATTCGTATTCGGTCGTCTAATTGCGGGTGGTGGTGTCGGTTTTATCTCCGCCGTTGTCATCCTATACATGTCCGAGATTGCGCCTAAGAAGGTTCGTGGTGCTATGGTCTCTGGATACCAGTTTTGCATTACTATTGGTATCCTTCTGGCCAATTGTGTGGTTTACGGAACCCAATCCCGCCCCGACTCGGGCTCGTACAGAATCCCCATCGGCATTCAGTTTCTATGGGCCATCGTTCTAGGCATCGGTCTCTTTATCCTCCCCGAGTCTCCTCGTTATTTTGTCAAGAAAGGCAAGATCGAGGAGGCTGCTAAGGCCCTTGCTTACGTCCGCGGTCAGCCATTGGATTCGGATTTCGTTAAGGACGAGTTGGCCGAGATTGTGGCCAACAATGAGTTCGAGCTGCAGAATCTCCCCCAGACTTCCTACATTGGTTCCTGGACTGCTTGCTTCAAGGGATCGTTATCCCAGGGCAACAGTAGTATCAGACGAACACTCCTCGGTTCTGGTTTGCAGATGATGCAACAGCTCACTGGAATTAACTTCAGGTATGTATTAAACCCCCTATTCTTCCATAAGGTATATAGTGACTAACGTTTAGTAGTAAGTGCAATTGCTTAAGAAAGGAACGATAAAAATTTTAGGAATATAAAGCTAACACAGAATCTTTTCACCCATTAGTTTTCTATTTCGGAAATGTAAGTATTAAATACGAAAATATCTTAATCTAGCTTTTCCTCCTTTCTTTGCTGGCAAGAGAAAATCATGGAAACATTTCAAATCCTTGACCCTCTTCTCCCCGCCGCACGACCCCCTTTTCTTATCTAACTGAACCTCTTTGCTAATGAAAAACAACAGGTATTTTTCAAGCAACTCGGAACTATTTCGAACCCCTTCCTCATCTCCTTGGTCACGACCCTTGTTAACGTCTTATCGACACCTATCTCGTTCTATACCATCGAGAAGTTTGGTCGCCGTGCCCTGCTGATCACTGGTGCCTCGGGTATGATCATCTCTCAGTTCATTGTCGGTGCCATTGGCGTCACGGCAGGAAGAGAAGAGGTTCACAACAACGCTGCTGCCCAGGCCATGATTGCCTTCATCTGCATCAACATTGCCTTTTTTGCTACCACATGGGGTCCTACCGCCTGGGTCGTCGTTGGCGAGGTTTTCCCCCTACCGATTCGATCCCGTGGTGTTGGTATCTCTACAGCCTCCAACTGGTTCTGGAACACCATTATTGCCGTCATTACCCCTTACCTTGTCGGTGAAGACGAGGCCAACCTCGGGGCTAAGGTGTTCTTCCTATGGGGTTCCCTCTGCTGCATCTCCCTGACGTTCGCCTACTTCCTCGTTCCCGAGCTGAAGGGCCTGTCCCTTGAACAGGCCGATATGTGCATGCAGGAAGTTGCCCCCCGCTACTCCGGCAAATGGAAGCCAAGCCACACGTTTGCTGCCGAAATGCACCACGTGGAGGACAACGCGGCTCTAGTAGGAAACACCATCGAGGAGAAGGTCTAAATAAACCGACCTTTTGTTCGGTTGTCGAGGGAGAACGGGTTATGTGCATGTTTTCTATTGCTTGAAGAAGCGCGGATGTATTAATCGTGTACTTAACTCCCAGCATACATATATGTGCCCCATATATATGATACTAAAATATAACAAGATAATTTATTTAAACGTTCAACTCTATCTGATCCTCGTTTCGATTTTAGCAATACTCATGTAGAAATATGATCAGTCATATAAGGTGCCAGAGATCGAAGTAGGTACCTACCGACCTATATAAGAGTATCGATTCCGGCTCTAAGTTCGAACTTTACTATAGTTATACCTAGTTGAAAGATCGCCTTATAAAGGCTTATCCGATTATATAATGTAGTGGGCTAAGTCTATAAGGCTATCTTCAAGACACAATTATACTGTCAATAATTTCAATGTTGAATATACATTCTTTATCATTTACATCTCGGGCTCAGAGTCGTATATCCCTTTATAAGGAAGGCTTGGCTTAATTATCAACTGAATGATATGAATGGTTAGAATTTATGGAAAGCGGAAACTTTCCGTCAATAAGTATACCATTTTACTCTCATACTTGTATACGGTGGCTTGACTGCGCGAGAATGCGCTGTGCAGAGTATCACTCTGGATTTTGCTCGCTTGCCTGGTGTGAATAATAGGGGCGGAATACCCTCGGATCTACCGTTTACAATCTACCTAAGACTACAGAAGACGCTATATGTATTATTAAGGACCTTGGGATATATTATATTTGGGTGGACTCCATTTACACCAATCAAGCCAACGTACTTCATTAGAGCAGCAGATACAGCCGGGCTTATGGGTTTTGTTTAGTAAGGTGCATCGGTGGCATTGATTGCCTTCATGGGTAATATTGCTGACTCTTACCTTGTATGAGTGAGGCCAACCGACCTACCTGATCATAGAAGTAAACAGTGGCCATGTTTAATTGGAAATGTCAATCTAGTTACATTACCGTAAATGCTTGTAAGGAGTCTTGCTGAGCAAATTTCTGTATCAATAAGGGTTACTTGTAGTTGGGCGCTGCAAGAGGCCCTGCTTTCTTCTAAATGTCTATACTTTGCAGGCAACCAAGCTTACTTCGAATGTGATATTTCCCAGGCTTGTGAATTATCTTTCACCTTGCCCCCGCCTCGGCATACTCACGCGAGCGATGGGACGCTTAAATTGCCCTTGAAAATCGGACTATGATATTTACTTATGGACATGTTCGAGTTCACACAGTTTATGAACCCTTTGTGCCTACATCGGAGCGGCAGGATGTCATGGAAAGATCTGATCTCGAGTTTAGTTTGAATCTATGCACTATAAATGTCGAGGCGTACACGTCGAGGTTAATTAGAGAAGACTCCGACGCGGTTGAAGCCATATCGGCGGTATTAAATTAGGCGGCTTAGTAGCTGGTCTGAGTTAGTGAGAAGACTACATTTTCCTTCATGGTTGTGAGCCTATTAATTTCATTTTCTCTAAGTTCCGTTTTATTTACTGTTATATCGACCTAGGTATAGATACTAACTCAACGGAGGAAACTAAGTCTCTCTTCAAGTTCAATAGAAAGCATTCCCAGAAACAGAGCGAGTCCCAATCCCTGAATTAGTGTCAGGATTCTAGATGTTTCATCTGGAACAAAGAACAGGTTTAATAGGTATGTATAGACTTAGAACCTCTTAGATAATTGGAGCTCTTTGCGGAATAACGCAGTTATTTCCATGCTGTTTAGTTACACCTCGGGACAATCAGATATATTTAGAGCTAGGGAGAAAGATACACTGCTAGTGGTGTATGGGGTTATACTCTAACTTGATTTTAGCCACCTATCTATTGGTACTTTGTCTTACTTCGATGGGTGTGAGGCCGCCTATTACAACTATACCTATTACACTCAGTACACGAAGAAAAAAAGGCGACACAAAATTCGACTGCTTGCTGCTAGGAAATATAAATGTTGACTATCTTGACTAATCATACTCCATGATTCTCGAATGATTTGAGAGGATCGCTTATAGGAAGGGATTGCCATTGAAGATAAGTAAAGACCCATCCTGGAACTTGATTAAAGTTCTGAACTTCCAGAAAACACAGCGTCCTAGGGTGCAGCGCTTCCTCCATGGTTAATTGTATAGACTTCATGTATTCCTCCTTTGAAAATCATCTCAGTCGTTAAATACGTGCGTAGTGCATACCTAGTTGACTTAAACTTACTAGTATCACAATAGCTTGCTACTTAATATATATGAATTACTCCTTTACAAGCTACTTGCTAGTTTTATACTGGAGTTTATACGAGTATTGCCGGTGAGAGGAGTTATATTTTTAGCAAAAAGCGCCTTGCAAAATGATTATTTGGAGAAGTTTCACATCTGGGTTACAAGGAGGGCGTGGGAATATGGCTATGATGTTGATTGAGTTGAGGTTTACACCTAATTGTCCAACAGAAGAACGCTGAAGAATCGCCGATTTGCTTGGAAATAATATTGCGGCTTTTGGTTATTGGAAGAAAAATTACGTGTGTGAAATTTGATAGAAATTAAGTGTAGGGTGTTAAGTGTAGGGCACCTACATAGAGGTAGGTATATGTACCTAGGACCCTCACGTGCTTAGGTTGAATCTACTTATAAGTTAGGTACCTGTACCCAATTGTGGGGTAAGCAAATATATATGAAATTGTAGGCAGGTATGATGCAAGCTCTTATAGGTTGTCTTTTAATGTTCCGTGACGTAGTCCCTGTTGCCTGCCGTGGATAGAATAAGATATAACCTTTTCCACATTTCACAAACATGAATTCTCTAGATTAGGCACCTACCTTCCATAACCCAACTACCGACTGCACAAGTGTCCGGATAGTGAATATCGGGCATCTAAATAGGGGCAATCATATCAGTATAACTATCAATTACAACCGGCTTGCAATTATGGAGAGAAAGAAATGGGTTATGTTGGGTACTAGGCGCTTTAGCGCATTTGCTGCTTAGGGGAGATAATGTCGCTAACATTGCACGCAGAAAATAATCCCGAGGTGATGAACCAATTAGCTGCAAAGCTAGGTCTGTCCCAGGAGTTGTCATTCCACGATGTCTGGTCGTTCGACGAACCTGAACTCCTGGCCCATATCCCTCGGCCCGCCCTGGCTCTACTAGTCATTTTACCCCTTACCCCTGCCTGGAAAGCAGAGCGTGAGGCTGAAGATGCTGAGAAGGAGGACTATCAAGGCCGCGGGGCCGAGGAGCCTGTAATATGGTTCAAGCAGACTATCGGAAACGCTTGCGGGTCCATCGGGTTTCTGCACTGCGCCATCAACGGCCCGACTGCGGAGTACATCCTACCGGGCTCCGACCTGGAAGAAATCCGTCGTCAGGCTATCCCTTTAGGGATGGAGGAGCGGGCTGACTTGCTTTATAACAGTGTGCCTTTCGAAAAAGCTCACGAATCGTGCGTTCAGTTAGGAGATACGGTTGCCCAGAACGAAGAGCATCTAGGACAGCACTTTGTGGCGTTCGTCAAAGTCGGTGGTAGACTCTGGGAACTAGAAGGGTCAAGAAAAGGTCCAATAGATAGAGGCGCGCTTGCAGACGACGAGGATGTTCTCAGCCCGAAGGCACTTGATTTGGGGTTTAGGAGGGTTATACGTCTTGATCAGCAGGCTGGGGGTACGGATTTACGATTTAGCTGTATCGCTCTATCTCGAAAAGCTTAAGTCTCTAAAGGCCCCGAGCGGTGTTACCTATTCTTTGCAGAGAATATATGAGTCGTTTACTGTATGAAGTCCTTTTTATTATCGAGGCTTGGGTTTCTTCTATTGTTTTAGTAAGCTTAGTTACCGTAGTGTTACTCTGAGCCATACTAGTCCTTCTCAGACTACCTAAGGTAGCTAAATACTGAATAAATACTGAATTGACTTATTCACGCTAGTGACTATGCTGTGTCTATGGGAATAATCAAAGAGGAGAATATCGACGCATGCTGGAGCTGAGACTTAGTAGTTACCACAAAGAGGTATGAGACTAGTAAGAAGAGTGTTATAAATTCTAATCCATCAATCATGGACTAAAAAGAAGGAGGGGCTACACCGCTCATCCAATTGATCGTGTAAAGGCCTCAAGTTGGGAAGCAAGACACGTGGGATAAGCGGTCTAACCCCTGAGTGGAATAGGTGTGTAGTCGGGATGTCGTCGCCGGGACTCGGCTGCGGCTCAAGCAAGAATTACTGAAAAGGGGTAAGATCATCGATAGGTCATATGTTACTCGAGGTCCGCATTCTCCAATGAAGTCTCCAAGGGGAGATTCAGCTAAGGGTTCGGTTGCATAGGACCTGGCCGGCAAGGCACATTTCGAATATGTATAGTGATAGATAAATTCAGGGGGGGGCCTAGGCCGATCTAGCGGCTTTCGTCAGGACTACGTAATTCCTATGTCATACATCACCCCGCGAGATCTACCATATTGCGTTTAGGATACTGTTAGTGAAAAATAAAAGATGTTAGATGGTTAAGATGAGTGAAGTTTGTAAATGGGAGATCGGATGGATTACCGAACTCGCTTTCCATAGTGTATTTACGGAGGTGCAGAGGGAACACATTAAAAAAACGCTAAAATTATTGGACTGACCCCAAGGGTGAAGGGGTAAATCCAAATAAGACCGATTAGAACTATATTGTTTATTACATATAAGTTTTTAAATGAATAAGGTAAGTTTATAACCATGATATGTATTAAATAATAAGGTATTAATTGCATAAAATTTAATAATAAAAATTTTTTTTATAAACATTTATTATAAATAAATGTTTAAATAACACGTGATTAAAATTACGTAATAAATTAAAATAAATAAAATAAATAAAATAAATAAAATAAATAAAATAAATAAAATAAATAAAATAAATAAAATAAATAAAATATATAAAATATATAAAATATATAAAATATATAAAATATATAAAATATATAAAATATATAAAATATAAAATTGTAAAATTTATTAATTTATACGTTTATCGATTATTTACGTAATATTTATTAATTATTTTATTAATTTTTAATAATTTAAAATAAAATCCGTTATTTATATTAAATAAATTAAAAAATTATTATAAAATAATTAATAAAATAATTAATAACCGCATAAACCCGTAAATTTTAAAATATCGTATTATTTTAATTTTTTAATTTATTTAATATAAATAATAAATTTTATTTTTAAAAATAAATAAATATAATATAAAATCATTTATATTTTTTAAAAATTTATATAAATAATTTAAAATTATATGTAAATTTAACTATATCACGTTTATTTTTATCGATTTATTTCATTAAGTTATATCATATATTCGCTTATCGAATCTTAAAAAAAATATGGTTATACGTGGGGGTGGGTATAATGACAAATTTTGGGTTTTTTTAATGTGTTCCCTCTGCACCTCCGTATGTATTCCCGTCTCGGTGGAGTACCTGCCATTACCTCTAAAAAGGTAGGTATTGGCTGAATGGACTGCTGGGTCGCTCTTTGCTTACCCCATCTTACCCCCACATATTCCGTTATTTCAGTAGTTCCAGGTACGTGTGCTTGGAATCGTTAGCGCAGAACACCTACCCCAACATTTCAATCCTGCTAAGCTGCCTATAAAAGGTACCCATTAAGCTAGCCCGGTTCTAGGTACTTCAGGTACTATAATTTTGTTTCACTTAGCAAGTTTATGTACGTCAGCATGTGATTCGTTGGTAAACTCTCTCAACATCAATTGGGGAAGTACTGGAATTATGGGTAATCGCCTCTTTCCCTTTTCCGTTTCGCTAGATTTCTCTATTCCAATCCTATCATGACTTCTCAATTTCTTTTTTTTTTCTTTTTTTTTCACTTCATATTAATCTATATTTTGATTAAATTTCTTTTTCTTTTTGGTATCCACCCCACAGCTATGCAGCGCACTGCGGGCTGCATACATATGTGTGCCGTATCTTTATTTTTACTTGTGACCTCCTTATATACGCAAGCCCCAATCAGACTCTCAGTCACAGATCTACCCGGCCAGCTAGCTTGAGCTAGCTGGGGCTGACCGTTCTTCGAGCGCAGGTTTGACAGGCATTAGGAGGTTTCCGGTTATGCCGTACCTATCTGATATCTTATAAATCACCGGCAAGATGCGGCATGACGTCGAGCTTAGCTCCTTTTTTACGGGTAGCCAAGCCTGGCATCTACCGTCAACACTTAACCCTTTTTGATGTCCTTCACGATGGCTTCTGACTGGGCCCTGTTACCCAATTCAACTCCTATGAGCTTGAAAACCAGCTGTTATAGCTGTCATATCTGAAGCAACCACAAGAGACTTTATACCCAAAGCCGGGCTCATACGAAGCCATGAACTTGATGGAAGCGGTGCTGAACCGCTACTGGCGATTCTAGCAAGTTTCGAGCGCAAAGTGCGGTTCCTACGTTTATTCCCATATTAGAGTGCACACGTGGTAGGTTGACGAGTGAGGTAGGTAGGTTACATATTCGCAATGGCTAGGCGGGTTGAAGCATTGATATCCATACCTGGCTTGTAGCCTTCTTCAGCCCCTAGAGTTTTGTCCACTTTACTTGGGTATGTTCATGGGGTTCCCTTCGCAAGTCCAGCCACACTCAATTGTTTCCCCGTCTATCGTGGCATCAACCACCATAAAAATCACCACACTACTCCAAAGACCCAAGCTATCAAGTATGTGGCGGTCTGGGATGATAAGCTTCACCAGGCTAACCATGCTATAAATTGGTACTATACCCGACAAGTGGAAGAGGGTATCCTCTCAATTACGAGCGCATGTTTAAAAAAAAATCCAAGAGCCCTGTATTCCCCCTTCTTTGGTGAGGCCGGCCAGCGGAGTCGGGCATTTCCTCCGTGAGAACTGCCCTCCACAGTCATTCAAAATAATCTGTTTTTGCTTGCCTTAGCCCAAAAGTCTCCAAAAAATACAAACCTCAATTAGCTTTTGCTCTCGTGCCATCCTGAAGATCCCATATTGCATAACATTTTTCGATAGGGCAGGATTTATGACCCAGACCGGACTGTCGCCACAATCCTGGTCTATCTGGGGCTCCTAGATATCCGAGTGCATACTCCCGCCGAGTACGCGTTGCGGTCCGGCCCGGCGACCGCCCCTTCAATCTCCAGGCGGCAAGTATACCACACCTGATCTGCATCAACTCATCCTTTTATATTCTCGCTTCTTTTTAGGAATGGTCGTGTCCAGACACAACCGTAGCACTAAAATCGTATTATTTGTCATGTGCTCGGTCGATAGGAAGCTTTCTCGATCGACCTCGAACCAGAGGCCATTCACCCGATTTTCACCTACCTACCCCCGGCTCGCTTCTTGTTTGTAGAGGATGAATCCTGAGAGTACCTCAAATAACTCGAGCTCTGCCGGTCCAGCGACGCCCACCAACAGTCGAAAGGAGCGGGGTGCCATAGCTGCTCAGGTATCTATCTCATATTTCTCTTCTTAGTCAGTTATTGACAATCTGCCTAGGCCTGCGAGTCTTGCAGACAACGTAAACAAAGATGCAGTGAAGAGAGGCCAAAGTGCGCCACCTGTCAGGTTAGTAACCCGAACCCCCCTTATCTATTTAGTTCTGTCTCGGGAGCTATCCCAGGAGAGCGACATCGAAGTCGCACGGTTTTGTTTCTTAATTACACTTCCAGTGACTCCTTAAACCGCACTATAGACTTATCAACTAACTCCGAAATGTGGAATAGCGAATGAATGTAAGGATGGTTCGTCTCGCTTGTACCTGTCTTCTACTAACTCCATCAGCTGGAATGCAAATACCGAGAGCCTCAACCGACCAAGTACGTAATGTCCGAGTGTAACTTATACCATCGTCGGATGGATTCGACGGAATCATGAACTGCATTACGTTGCACGGTTACGTGTCGGATATAACTAACTAGCTACAGAAAAGACAAAACCCTCGTTGAAATATTAGAGCGACTGAAGAGCCTCGAGGGAGGGTTGAGAAATCTTGATGGAAAGGTCGATAGCCTCAATGCTCGAGGTACCCTCCCCCTATCTATTTATGGCCCAATACAGTCCAACCCATCCTCCGCGTCTCTAGACACTGGTCATCCCATCCCGTGGCCTCCTTCAAACGTTCACCTTCAACCCGCAGCAATTTCCCCGGCCTCGCCCCGAGATGTGCAATATGTCTCTGCAACTCACAAGATGCTCTCCTGGCCTTTTTTACAGCAGGTCCTTGAGAATAAGGTCCCGGGCCTCGACTTAACGAGCTTAGAGAAGGACGGAGCAGCTATGTTATTGGGTCTACAAGGTCGAATCGCGTCTCTACCGACCAACATTTATGGATCACCCCATTTGGGTTCCGAGGGAGCATCTCTGTCACTACAAGTTTCTTCCCCTAGTCAGGTTGAAGGGTTACAGGCGAGTGGGCTGAGTATAAACTGGGAAACGATGCAAAGACTTACCAAATCATATTTCGACACATTTAACTTGATATATCCGATCATGGACCGGCAAGTCTTCTTGTCCGAAGTCTTACCGGCTATGGCGAGCCACGGCTTCGACGAGAGTAGCTCTTCGACGTTAACATGTCTGGTATTCGCGCTTGGTGAAGTAGCCATCAGCGCCGTGCAGGGCGCTCCGCTTGGGGTAAGTTCAGCTTTGGGAGTTTTATCACTTCTACGTTTATTTACCTCCAGTACACGGGGGTGCTGTGCAATTTCTGATACACCTGAGAATGAAACGCTTTCTCTATACGATAAGATGCTAATTTAATTACCAGAGATATAAAGGCCGCCCCAGTGGTATTAGGGGAGGAACAATAGAAAGGCCGCCAGGACTAGTGTTTTTCAACGAGGCTAGAAAGAGAATGGGTTTCAATCTGACCGAATGCAGTCTACAAAACGTGCAGATCTTTGCATTAGCAGCGTAAGTATATCTCTGGCTAGCATCTATACGACTGGGGGCACCTACTTACGATTTTCAATGTCTAGCATATATTATGGGACATGTTGTCATCATCTGGTAACTAGGACCGTACTAAGTGAATTCTTGTTCCCGCTAATTAGCTTAGGAGTTTTGGCGTATGACGACCTCGGCATCGCTGGCGTGCCAGGCATTGTTGACGAGGTATGCATCGGAAAACAAGCACATTAGAGCCGTATTAACGTGGCCCTTAGTAACCCGGATGTCCTAACAACTCACCGAGGGGATTTGGTCCGGAGAACGTTTTGGCATTGCTCCATAATGGAGACGTATGTTGTTGACTTACCTTGACTTATGTTGATGTTTTAGACTGAATGAGTACAGATGTCTGAATATGGAGCTAAATATTCCTCGGACTGGATTGGATAAGCTAGAATCACTAGTAGGACTACCTGACTTCAGCGGCTCATTCTCCGAAGAAGATTATATCGGAAACCAAGCCTCCCACTTTCAGGAACATTTCGCTTCGCAAATAGTGCTTCGGCGGTTATCCGTGGAGTTTCATACTACGCTAAGTAATGGTGAGTGTATTATTGAACCCCAAGTCTTATTGTTAGGGGATATACGATAGATATCAAGACCTGTCGATGTTCGCTTCACCCGTTTTAGAGATAGGGGCTAACTTAGTAAAGCTTTCGGTCCTACGAATCTTCCTCCTGAAGCGCCAATATCCCCAGCAGCCGTGATGATGAAGCAAATGGCTGAACAGTTGGATCAATGGAGAGGCCTACTGCCAGTATATCTGCGCTGGGAGGAAGAGAATCCAGGGGCATTCTCGAATCCAACCGAAGAAATGTATGGTGATCAATCAATGTACCCGCCCCCCGTGCCCGACCTTCATACGAATTTCATGTTTTCGGCGGACCTAGATAACCCTCCTGTGGCCTATCCTTATGCGGTGGATATACAAACTGCCAGCCTTAGGACACGATATTACTACGTTAAGTATCTCATCCACAGGCCATTCATCTTCAAAGCCCTACATCATCCTGAGCAGATGACACGGGACGACGCAGAGGGTGTCGTGGAATGTCTCAAGGCGATGTTAAAATGGCCTATTGCAATGTCACCAACTTGTTTCCACAAGAGACTGATCCCATGTCTCTTCTTCTGGTCACAGAATCTCCTCGGTATCCTCCTGATCCTACACCTAACACAACAGGTACCCATCTTAATGCGAATCCGGGGGTCGCTGATGGGGACTAAATTCGACCAAGATGCTAACGAGACGGCCGTATTGTGCATCGATTGGATACGGGACCTCAAAGATACGGACGCGACCGCTCTATGGTGCTGGGAGATACTGAAAGGAATCTACTCTCTAGGGGACGAGACGTGATGATGCTATTTCTTTCCCGCCCCCGATACCCCTTCACCGTTCTTTCATTTCATCATAAGGCCTGGGTTATATGGCGAAGCGCGCGGTAGCAATTTGGAACGAAACAAGAGAACTGAGCCTATCGTTTGTTATCTTGGGAGGTATTATTTTATGGTCATATATCATCGAGGGATTATCGGCGCTAGGAGCTTGCGGGATTCGTGAGAAGTTTCTAAGAGAACATTGTGCGGGGTGGTTGTGATATCTCAGATGCATTGCCGGGCGAGGGATTTAAAGGATATCTGTTTTTTTATTTATTGTCTAGGTACTTTTCGAAGCATTTACAATAGTAGACTTGACATCCTTAGCACGCTTAACTTCGTCAATTGGTTTTATCGATGCTGGGAATCTTTTTTATTTCCTACTCTTCTGTGGTGGGAATGGACTTTTGCTTTGATCTGGTGCAAATATAAACGGCCATAACCGGTGTCCATAATAGTAACTATTATACTAATATACCTACGTAGTACACACTCAGCTTCTCTTGATCTATGTTTGGCTTAACGAAACATCATACTATGTTGTGGCTAAGCAGGCAGGCCCCTTTTAAGCACTTCTACGAGACTAGCGAAAATAGGGGCAATATAGTGCATAGGGACAGAGTATACAGAGACCATAAGGAGACGATGGGGCAGGCATGAATACTCCTGAAGTTACTCATCCCTTAGGTGGGGATATGGGGTTCGTTTTGCAGGGCCAGGACTCGATGCTAAAAAGTGTAACATGTGTTGGGGCATGATACGGCGCATCGGGGCTGTCATTCAGAGCTCCACCTCTTACTTGCCGTAGGGCCTCCGGGTTCTACCTCTAGTGTATACTCACGTATCAGTAATCAAAATTCCGTAAAGGCGTTAGTAGATACCCTGAATCTAGTACCCGGTTGGTGGTAAAGTGGGTAATGGTCTACGCCCTAGAGCTGCTTGCTACATAGCGAATAGGTGGTTCGGTCGGTTGCGAAGCCGCAGCGTCTGAAACAGCTTTGACGAGCAACATCCAACAGCAGTACCGTAAGGTTGATGTCAAGGGCGATCTTAACGTTGATGCACAACTCCTTGGTGATATCGGGGGTGGTTTAGCTCCATCGTGGGGAAGAGGTGGAGATATAAGTTGCGGTGAGCTGAAATTCATAACGGTTCGGCCCTGCCCTGCCAGACTAATGTACGCGCATGAATGAGCTCAGGTATCGTCCCTAGGTCTTGTGTGGCGTAGATGGCGGTCTACTGGCAGTCCGCCGCTATGTAAAAGTAGTCCCTTCTACATATGGGTCGGTAAGAGCCGAGCATCTTCCAAGGATCGTAAGTACACTTAGCCCCATAGGAAGCAATTGTCACGGACATGGTCGTGCTTCCATTGCTGCGTACTAATAAGGATTAGCCGTTGACATGGTTCGATAAAGTGATCTGAGAGTGCTTGTTAGATCTCTAATGTTGCGCACATATGACAGCCAAGCCTTATAGCTCCCTAGGCTCACTCGGACTTTTCTTTATTTGGGTATATAGTATACAGATATTCAAAATTGTGGATTAGTTAACTGATAGTATTAGGTCTCCGAACTCCGAACTTGCTGCGAACTTATTCGAATCTGCTCAAGTCGTTGCTAGAAGCATATATGCAGGTTACCTGAGTACTAAATGCCGCGGAGAAGCTCAAGCATAAATACCTATTTACTGATCAGGAAGTGATGATATAAGTGATGATATGACGCTCATCGGAATAGGTCTCGAGGAACGGGTCTCGAAGAACTGCTGGCTTGGCTGTGCGACCTGTCAGAATTGCGTACCTAAAAACTAGGGGAATCGGAGCCAGGCCGCGAAGCGTTGCACTGCATTGAAGCGTCTGTCGGACTTTTATTAGGCTCTTTTATTGAAGGGCATCGCACACACCCTCTTGTGTGCCCTGCGGAGCTAGTTGTGGATGCTATATCATAAGCCTAATAAAGCTGACGTCGGGCATCGAGCAAAAAAGAAAAGAAAAAAAATACATATACGGAATAGAGAGACTGAGAGATAGAACGGCATCGCCGCTTTCTTGATAGTATGTAACGATTTGCTCTGGGGGTGGATAATAATAAGGACACTGATAGAATATAATAGTTAATAATAATAATAATAATATGAAGAGAGAGATCAGACGAGCGCTTTGACTTTGGTCGAAACTTCAAATTTACGCTTTGACGCCTTGCCCTCGGTCTTTTTTAGCGGGTTCCACTTTTGAGATCGATAAAATGTCTAAGCGCGCGTCGGAATATTGAATCCAACAAGATAGTAGATGTACCTACGGACTTGAGATCTCGGTTGGTGCATATTGCGCAGTATGTTTATGTAACAGAAGTACCTAATACAAGAACTTTTATAACGGATATAGGTACATGTACCTACCTTAATACCCTCCCTTCCATGTGCTTTCCCCGTGTATTCCGGAACCACCTAAAGTACCTATAACATTAAGGTAGTAATCCACTATTAGTTTCTCTCTTGCCCCGCATAGTCGTTTCAAACTTTATGGAGCTACACTAGCAGAGCAGCTAGTACAACAAGGTTTTCAACGGCGCCCATCTGTCAAAAAGGAAGAAACGTACGTTCGTATCATGGTACGATTCCAAAGAGAAGCCTGCTTTATACCTTGGCGAAGTGCTTCGAGAAGAGTTCCTCCCCACATAGTTCATCGTCGCAAGAATAGTTTTTGTCGTCAATTCCTCATATCTTACTAGGGACGATAGTTCCGATCGTGAGTCGGGAGATACCTTGGTACATTGGAAGTAAAACGGGAAACTTTCCGACACCGACTGGGCGGGCACATATCCACAATGTTGCAGTAGTTCGCCCGTCGACAAGCCCACTTCAACGGCGGCTTATGCACGCTAACTCGGTAATATGCGAACTTTTGACTTCTATATTCTTAGCCGAGTATACATTATCATAAGCATAAGGCCCCATACAACTTAGGAACTTAGGAACTTCATCTATATGTGTGCTAGCTCCTTAGCCGAGCAGTCAAATCTACTTAGCATTGATATTATTACAACTTTTTTTTTATCGAACCGATTTTGAGGAACTCTAGACTCTAGATTAGAGTTTTGCAAAACGGGAAATCTTCAAGGACTACTTCGGAATCGCTCATCACTTACCATTTTACTAGGTTCCTTTGACATCTCAATGCTACCTTTCGTCAGTGTCCTTGCAGTCGTATCCGCCTTGCCCTTACCCGGCCAATTTCCCAGATAAAATGGTTTTTAATGCGAGTCAAACGTGCACGCGTTACATCTTGAACGTATTCGAGCCGACAGGGCTCCTTGGCGTTTCCAAAGGTCCGGTATGCGAGACTTGGATATGTTCCCGCTAGTCTTCAGCTCATAGATTTCCGGAGATCTCGCAGGTACCGAGAAAACGACGCTGGTAACAAGAGCTCCCGGGTCGTTTCGAGCGCTTTGTTACAAAGGAGCCAGACTCTTGGGTGTCAACTTTGACCCCTAGCGAGAGATCGGCGGCCGCAAATGCAGCCCCGACCCTGTTCGGTAGATCAGTTCGGATGCCGGGCGAAAGAAGTGTGAAGCTAAGTAAAACTTTGGCGCCTCGCTGTTTTAAGCCAGGAGGCTATATTCGCAGCCTTGTAATCACAATCGGTTTCGGCCAATCGCGGTTATAAGGACTTGAAGCCTATAATGTTATGCTTTGTTATTCCCATCAGCCTCAATGTAGTTTCACAAGGATCTATATGTGTAAAGAGACTAGCTCGTGGGGGTCGCTACCTATCACACGAGTTGAGCCACATGAGATAGGTAGGTAAGTATTGAATGTGTATGATACCATATCAAATGATGCCGCAAATCCCATTGTATGCCTTTGAGCCTACTAGGTTAACGTTGAGGCATTTTGGGTCATCACATTTTGTGCTTTGAGGGTCTAAGGGATAAAAGTAGCCCTTGATAAACGGACCAATCATAAGAATCTAATACGAGCGATTCGGCAATGTCACACACATACATATACAATGGCCTATCGACTATACGTTACTATTGTTACACTATTCCAACTGATTTATCCGTTACTGTCAAAGCGACTTAATGAGTACAGGAGACTAAGGCTTAGTGTTCAAATTGGCATCACACATTAGCTTCCTTGTAAAAAGGTCCTAGCTCGATCTAATGTTTCGTTAGAATATTATTTTTATTATTTCATAAATATGAATCAGCCACAGATTACGTTTGCAGAACTTCAGCAAAGTCAAATAACAGGAGCAAAGACTGCCCCTCTACAATACAGATAATTTCCGCCGTTGATGCGGGCTCACGAACCCGCCGGACCGCGGCTTACGTTCTGGAACACCCCGGTAGCACTAAACTAATGTACTTAGCCTCAGCTAGCTTTAACCTTGAAATACCTATTCCCCAGTTCTCGGCCAAAACCCGCCAAAAGCCAGGGGCCCCGCCTGCCCGCCTTAGCTGCCACATGGACTTAGGTAGAATAGATGAAAGTTTGCTTTTTTTTCCCATTCCTTTTATTAACTAGGTCATCATGATTCAAGCTCTTACGATGCTGTGTTCACCTTAGTCCTGATCTAGCAGGTACTATAAACCTACCTAGGTATGATTAGGATATTCTTAGATGACTAATTGCATAAAGCCAAACGATGAATTCATGTCGCTATTTTTTATACGATGTATCGGAGATACAAATATGATAAAAACTAATGAAACGGACTTGAAAGTTACCAGCCAATCTCCAGATTTATTTCATACATACATGTACCTAACCTAGCCTTGTGGTACAGCTGCTAGCTGCTGCACGTGCAATCTAGATCGGCTCTTTAAATTGGTTTGTTTATTGAAGTGCCGGGGCTTTAAGACATGCAGCTAGCCTAGTGTTTTCTAAATTTTAATCATTTCTATCGATATACGTGTACTTTATTTTTATAATTGTTCCTTATTAGCAAACGCTGAGATGACTTTCACTAATTATGAC